CTTTGGCCACTCTCTGTGTCTTCCGATCATGGATACAACTTTTTAGGTGGGCTTCTGGAGGCCACCATCAGAAAATATTGTCTTATAAGGGTGTCCGGGATTTCATCTGGAATAGGAGATTAGTTTGAAGAAGTGGAAACATCCCTGGAAACAGGACTAGAAGAAATCTTTTCTTTTCTATTTTTCCAAGAATACATCAATCAATTTGGATTATTATGCATTATTATTAAAACATTTGATTGCACATTGGATTTTAAAACCTTGGCATTATCATCTGAACAGGCCATCGTCCTTCATCATCTAAGAGTTTACGTGCTTATCCTATCTGCTGGAACAACTTATGAGCTCAAGCTGTTAATAACTGCATAGACCTCATCAGTGATTTATGCATCAGTGTTACCTGGTCACATTACTGACCCTTCTGTTCTTGTTTTGACACCATTCCCCTTTTCACATTTAGCTTTGACTGGTGCATGATTTAAGCGACCATGTTGCTGAAAATGAAATTCAGCCAGCAGCGGAGGGTACGCCTAGCTCAAGGCTTGTGGCTGCTGTCGTGGCTTGCAGTGATGTGTGGGGCCTTCATCTTTTGCCTCGGTGTTTACCTCAAAATTGAGCTGCTTCGCAGGGCTGAGGTATAAATGTGAACATTAGTGTAGGCCAACCAACAATATGCACCTCTTTACAGAGTAATGATAGGACAAAAGTGAAGTGACCTTGACAGGAAGCATTTAATATTCCTAAAGTAGTCATAATGTTCAATTGGCTGTTGTGTAATGTGATTATTGATAAGGCATGAGTGACACAGGAAAGGGAAAGCTGCAGGCCAGGCATATGTCAGATATTTATGGATTTCCAATGAGCCAGATTTCATAATCACAGAGTTCGACTGCATCATCATGGATTTATGGCCTATATATATATATATATATACTTACAAATTTTATCCACTCTACTAAGATATAAAATCAATATCTACTTCAGTGGATGGAGGAAATTGCAGTGAACTAATATCTTAATATTTTTGAATCTTTCTTTCTCTCCAGGTGATGGAGAACACAGAGATCCATGTGGTCCCTAACATCCTCCTGATGGTGGGCTTGGCGTCCATTGGCACAAACTGGATAGCTAGTCGTGTGTGCCAGGACTCGCTGGATGCAAGCCGCTTTCCTCGCTGGAAAGTGTTGCTGCTGGCCTGGTTTGCTGTGGCTGCACTGCTCTGCTGTCTGCTTGTTACTGTAGTAGTACTCAGCTATGCCCTGCAGGGGCGACTGGAAGAGTCCCTTAAAGTAGGCTGTTAGGGACAAACATGTTAACCAGTCTAAAAGTAATGAGGCAAATGATAACTGTCTTTCTCCGTACTTTATGACCAGATTGGCCTGAGGAATGGTATTCGCTTCTACAAGGACACAGACGTGCCCGGACGCTGTTTTCAGAAAGAAACCATTGATCGTCTGCAGATGGAGTTCCGCTGCTGTGGAAACAACAACTATAAAGACTGGTTTGAAGTTCAGTGGGTCAGTAATAGATACCTGGATTTCACCTCAAAGGATGTCAAAGAGTAAGTGACAACAAGAATTATATCCATGTAGGCGATCAAGTACAAGGTTAAAGAGAAATACAAACAAAAGAGAGAGAAAAATTGTGCCTGACCTTTTATCTGTAGTGTGGGAGCAGTTTGTATTGAATATATTGGAACAAAAATGTTTAAATTTAAATATTTAGATTATAAAGGGCAAACTCATTTCTGAATCTTTCTCTCTTTGCAGTCGAATCCGCAGTAATGTTGATGGGCGATATCTATTGGATGGTGTTCCCTTCAGTTGCTGTAACCCTGCGTCTCCACGACCCTGTCTGCAAAACCAGCTCACTGATAATCGAGCTCACTACAACTACGAACCCCAAACTGAGGAACTGAACCTGTACAGCCGTGGTTGTAGGCAGGCGCTCACAGATTATTACATGGGCCTCATGAATTCAACAGGCCCTGGAGTGCTCTCAGTCATCTTGATACAGGTGAAAAAACTCACACACAAACAACACCGGAGGTAAAGTGCTGTACCTCATATAGTTGAAATACACTGGCCAGTTAGTATGTAAATAAAGTCCTTAGTTCAATGACTAACAAGCATGTGACATGTTTGTAAATATGGCAGAAACTTAAAACTTAACTAATGATTTAATCTTTTTTAATATTTTGTTTTGGGGTGCACATATTGATGCCCCTTCACACCTCCTTTAACCCATATTTCTGTGCAGGTGTCAGTCATTGTGAGCCTACGTTATCTGCAAACAGCAGTGGAAGGCGCCATGGCCTCGGAGAATCCAGAAGAAGAAAGTGTGGGCTATCTGCTTGAAAAAGACCTAAAAGAAACCTATGAAGACCTCAAATCCAAGGCCCTGGATATACTGAAGTTTGCACAGGTTGATCCCACCACCACTGAAGCATCTCCTGATGCAGAGGCAGAGAAGGCAGATAAGGCTGTGTCCCCAACCCCTGTAAGCTAGAGTAATCAAAAACACAGCTACACATGTAATAGAAGTGGAATGTGTCTGAGGTTTGTTGGCTCGGTAAGTTTGCTGATGAAGAAACCTGTTCAGCTCCACATGTTATAGGCTCATTTACACACTGTCAATACAGCAACTGCAGCATTCATGTAGGGCCAACAAAGACAGCACTTAGGAAATCACTCACTACACAGACACCAAGTATCTCCAGCGTGTAAAAGAAAAAAAATAAAATTTTACTGAATCTAATATAGCACAGTGTCAATACAGTAGAAATGAACAGATTTTCTTTTATGTAAGATGTGCATTAAAGTTTAGATTTTTGACATTGATTATGGAAAACATGCATATTGTGCTGAAAATGTTTGTATAACTGAATAATTCCTGTGATATCGGTAGTGTAGTGTGAATAGCATAGAAATGTGTTAAAATGCAGAAACTATGTATCATTTAAAACCAATAAACATAGACATTTTTAAATGTTTTGTATTGTTGGATTCTTTCTGTATCTGTCTGTAAAACATTGACAATAATGAACAGGAAAAAAAGAGAGGGCTGGAAGAGTGTGTTTGTGTAAGTGTAAGTGTGATCATGGTCTATATGGAGCTGTTGAAACAATCTGATAACCTTTGCATATAATCCAAGGACCGCTGTACCAGCATTAGTGCACTCTGCATGTTTGCACACTGAACAGCCACTGTGGCTGGGAAAGTAAGATGACGTAGTTTATGATATTAGTGGTTTCATGGTTGACAATTTACATCAAGGAATTTCCAGTTTGTGCAGAATAGAAAAAGCAACATCATATTTTATGCCACAACATACAAAAAGAGTTGCGATTGGATGTTTTGCCACTAGATGTCTCTCTTGACTAGAGCAAAATTGAAACAACACTGAGTCCATTACAAAAAATCATGACAGATGTCAGAAGTAAATAAAAAAAATAAAAAAAAGTTAAATTAAAAATGTGTTCGTTTGTTTCTTAGTATGGAGTAGGCTTAGCAAAAATATTAACGAGTCTATTAGACCTTTGCTTAAAATATGATCTATAATAACATCGTAGTTTATATGAGTGAGCTTTGTGGATGTGTGAAATGGCGTTTTTAAAACGCAACATGTGCGTTTTGTCAATTCCGGTGTGGTTTTGCAAAGGCGAGTCTGACACAGTGAGAGAGGAAGAGACAGGCCTTGATGACGGCGTCAAACTCTTTCACATGGCGCAAATGGAGGCTCTTTTGATTCATGACTTAACACAGAGCTGATAATACTTTAATTAGCTGTCCGCTGTAGTGTTTACTGCTCCTGCGACTCAACAATGGACTCGAACATCATGGAGATAATAGAGGAATTCATGGAAAGTGCATTGGTGCGATGGGTATGTCATTTATCATTTATCACAGCCTAAGAAAAGGTCATCACTTCAGGAGGAAAAAGCGAACAGAGCATTTTCACACGAATTACTACCTTAGGTCATACATGGGCTGGTGCTTTTGAGAAAATAGTTTAAATATGTGTATTATAACTTTGAAAAGTAGTGTTGTTTGTGGCAAAAAACAATGATACTTCTCCTTTTGGCAGCGCCCCTTACCTCATCATTGCAGTATTTTTTTTCCACTTCCGCATCATAGCCGTATTTTACATGTATATAAAACATGACAGAAAACTGTTTATGTAATAACAATATGATGCCTCTTCATCATATAAGGATATGTTTGTCCATACCAGGTTTCTACACGGGAGGCCATTCAGCAGCCCAAGGCCTTTCTCCTTATGGTCAATACACTCAAGCCCATTGCAATAGTATGTAATCCTGGGCTAAACAGGGGAGGTTTCTCTGCTATTGAACAGTGCCAAAGGGAAGGTTTGGGGTCAGACTGAACTGAGCAGATTTGGGGCATGCAGTTTTTCAAGGGTTTTATTTACCCTTCAGCTGCTGGCTCATACAGTAGGCCCAGTAGTTTTACATTGTAGGCTATTATACCCCAGCGCATTATAGGCCTATGTAAAATTGCTCTTGAGTGCATTCAGTGGGAGAGAGACCTTGACTGTCTGTCACTGTGAAGTGCATCCTGGTGTGAAAGCACAGATTCACCTGTCCAGACAGGTGCTCTTACTCAAGTGGCTTCCTGTGTACTGAAAATGTTTCCTCTCCACTCTTCCTGCTGATTTTCTGCTTCTGTCTCTTGTTTTTGCTTGTCTCCTGGTACATTTTCTCCGCACACTCATGCTTTATAATCATTTGGCTGTTACAGGTTCAGTTGTTTGGGGAGATGCTGGAGAGAGATGACATCGGGTCACTTTGCCCTGGGTACATGGAGGTGAACTCTGTCTCTCAGGGGGCCATAGACTGCTACCGGAAAATTACTGATGGGATTTTCCTCAATCAGGTCATGAGGGTCATGTAAGAGTTATTACAATTTATCTTGCTTCATTTTCAGCACACATGTACTGTTTATTATTGAACAGACTCAATAAAATGATTTTTCGCAGGGACACTTTTCAAGTAATATGTAGTGAAACACTTTTTTATGAAAGCATTTTGAAAATTTGATGAACCATATAAGAAGTTATGTCAAAGCATTTTTCAATTAAATGCTGAGAGACACAGGAGGAACTGACAGGCGCTTCTCTTCGAACCCTCTATGTAAAGAATACATTAACATGTCACATTTATCCAAATACTGGATGTTGGAGTGAAAATGTGGTATAAGGTTGACGCATTCCAATCAGTTCTGTTATTAATCTTGTTGAATTGTTCATCTTTGTGTTGAAATACTGGCTAAAAAAGACAGACCATGTTAACAGAACAGCTTATTTATTTGGTCTCTCCAAAGTCACAGTGTTTCAATATACGATTCTCCAGTGGGTAGGAGGAATCAGCAGGCTCATTAAAATGTCTTTCACTCTTGTATAATTCTGTTTAAAAAATAAATAAATAAATAACACACAGTTTCTGTTGGGTTGTCACGTAGTTTTAATTATAACATTGTGTCCTCAGAGATCCAAATCCAAAAGTGGAGCAGTTGTATGGTACAGGCAGAGGAGATGATCATATGCTGACAGTCCAGAACTTTTCCATTTTAAATCGACATATCAGGTCCTTCTACCAGGTACGATCAACCTATACTGTCACTGGATTAAAAAAAAACCTTTGTCCTAAAATTCTCGATTTATAAAAAAAAAAAAAAAAAAATTATACTGAAGTAACATCTGAACCGTGATTAAATGCATATGACTACAGTACATACAGCATGCATATCATCCAAATACTAAAGTAAGTCTAGTAGAATGTTTTATTATATTTATTATTGACTCATGCATACTTAAGTTATCAATACTCAATCAAATATCATATGACTCAGTTTCAATCATGATTATGATTAATTGTTTTAAAACATTACCACTGTAATTTATTGTACAGTATGTTGACTTCTGCCCACTGTGTATATGTGTTTGCTTAATTTATTTGTCACACAACAATTTATTTGTTTGGAGGATTATTATATTATAAAAGTCTATTCAAAAGTCTTCACAAATTGTCGGTTGCAGATGTCTAACATTGGCATTAGAGGAAATGACACAACTATTTCTGTAAATGACGAGTCTTTGCTCAACAACAACAGTAAAGCTGGTGAATAGAGTATGTGTTGCCTAGCACCGACTGTCACACAAGTTAAAAACACACGGTCCACTTCCTTATATTTTTTTAATTGAGGTGTATTTTCATCAAGAGTTTAGATTATGATGTGGCTGCAATTTCACAAAACAATAATGTATTGTATTTTCTGGTTTAAATGGATCCAACTTAACTATGTACATAGGCATGTTTTTTCAAGACCTTTTGAATGTTTCTCCTCAGGAAAATCTTCAGCAGCTGATACTGATGCCTCTCCCAAATGTTGCTATTCTGGGACAGGACCCCCTCACAGGTACAAGACTAGTGATAACAGGTTCCTCTTATCAGCTTATGACTTAGAGCGGCAAAAGTAATTATGCTAGATATAAGTTCTTATCTTTTCTGCATGTCAGAGGTGTAAAGGTGGTAATTGTAGGAATAGTGAAAGATGCACTGAGCATAAGTATATTTTGGTGTTTTTAGAGGCTGCAGTGGAAGAGCTCAGGCGACTGATGCTGCTTTTATTGGGATGTGCTGTGCAGGTGACCACACATGATGTCTTTCATATCACTGATGTCTGCAATGCTTTTACTGGTGTCTTAACATACATTGGAAATGTTCATTAAGTAAAAGTGTATTCATTATATTCAGTAGAATTTGAAAAAAAAAAAAAAAAAAAAGGGGGGGCGTGGGGGGTGGAGGGGCAATATAAACACAAAAATAATATTATTTAGTGAATACATTGTCATTAATGAATTGATCATTTGTGTCTGCAGTGTGAGAACAAAGAAATATTTATTCAGCAGATCCAATCCCTAGACATAGAAACCCAGGCCTCCATTGCCATCTGTATTCAAGAGGTAAGACATTAAGAACTTCATTGGATGTCAACATTTTCAAACCCACCAAAACTTTTTGAATGACCAGACCATATAAACAGATTTTTGGATTTCAGAAATGATTTATGTCTTAGTTTCATATCTGAAAATAGTGTCAGCTGTTAGCTGAACTGTAATGCCCTTTGGAATCTTCCAGTGAGTGAAAAAATGAACCACTTATCATTCTCCAGGCAGCCATTTAAAGGACCTTTAGGTGGCCCTTACTGCTATCCTCCAACTGTTATGTCAACTTTCTTCCCTGCCTCTGTCAGTTTTGCTTCTCTTTGTCATCGTTTTTGCTGCCATTTTCCTCTACCAGAATGACACAAATGGCAAACTGCACATGAATAACTATAAGTTTGCTGTAGCAGTGTGTTGCCCAACTATGATTTCATCCCAGCTTTCTTAGTCACATAAATCACAGAGGTGAGTGGTTTTTTTTCTGAATGGATGGGTGCACCTCTCCCGAATAATCATTAGTTTTGCATGCATTAGTCAGTCACGGTTATGAATATGGGAGCTTGGCATTCACACTGCACTGACTGAATATTTGTCCCCAGGTCTACAATTTTGTGTGTCATTAATCTTATCATAGACATCTGAAATACTGTGATGGCTACAGGTGACTCAGGATCCACAGATGGTGCTGCCGCTGCAGTGGGAGGAGCTTGTGGAGGCTGATAGTTCAGACCTGGTGCCTGTGTTCAGCTCTATGGCCAAGCACATCCAGAGCCTCCTGGCACAAAAAGACACTTATCTCGAGGTATGTACAATAAAAAATTATGTTTTTGTATTTTATTTAAGTTGACCTTGAAGGTACACTATGTAACTTGTCCACAACCTATTTATCTCCATTGGTAATGCATGTCATTAAACACATCTATTGAGCATTCTAGTACTGGTACCTTAAAAGAGATTCTCACTGTAAGCAGGCCTCTTCTCCACAGGGCTGTAACTTGGTCTTGTGGGATCATGTCGGGCTGAATAATTTGATATTTTTCTGACTAGCATTGTGATATATGCGAGTTATATTTCTATTCAGTCCACATTTTAAACACATCTACAAAAACTGACAAATACTGTACTGAAAATAAATAATACTGAAATATGAACTGACCAAGAATAAGACATCTTATATGATATGTTGTTGTTTGTGGAGAGTATGGCACTTAAAAAATGACAGCCTTTGCAATTTTGCTGATTGCGATTAATTTTGCAGCCTTCACCTACTTGTCTTCATAGAGATATTGCATAATATATAAATTCAAAATAAAGTTTAATTGATTGAAGTTTGATGTCATACTATGGAACATTTCAGGCAAAGCAATATGATCTCCATGGAAACAAGTTAGTAACAAACCCTCCATTACAAAAATTACATATGCACTTTTAAATGGTTATGGTACCTGTAGAACAGGGGTGTCCAAACTTTTTTCATCAAGGGCCACACATCTAAACACAGATGAAGCAGAGGGCCGATCGAGGGCTTGTGGACTGGTGCTCAATACAGTGAATAATTGAAATATGTGCATGTTTAACACGTTAGAATGAACCATCAGTCTTTATTCATGCTTAGATCCTTAAAACCACACACTAAATATTAAATATTCGCTTTATCAAGGTAGAGGTTAGGGTTTTTAAAAAAAAAAAAAAAACTTGCAATAAAAACTTAATTTTTAATTGACAAATTGATTCACCTGGAAGTCAGAGGGCCAAGAAAAATTTGTCTGAGGGCCGCATTTGGCCCCCGGGCCATGGTTTGGACATGCCTGCTGTAGAAAGAAGACTTTAATTGCAGACAGATTTGATCAACGTCTTATATACTGCTCATAATAATTATTGAGAGTTCCAGATATTACATTTATAGGGGGATAAATTAAACCAAAATATATCACCTCAGTTTGGAAGACATGAATACAGTATAATCCAATATCTGTGGTCTTTTTGCTCTAAGCTCTGTTCTACGTTTAATTGGAAAAATCAATCACTTGAAAAAAGAAAAAAAATGTATTGATGGAGGGTGGATTGTCTGTATGTATGTCAGTAACATCGTCAAGGTTAAATCAATAAATTGTTTTGTTTTTCTATATAGTATTACAAAATATTCTACATGCATTTGAAAGCATGTGATTTCAGATATCTACAGATATCAAAATTTGAAAGCATTGAAATTCCAGTCTGTATTTCTGTGTTCCTTACATTGGTTTGTCTGGCTTTTTTTTTTTCTTTTTTACAAAGTTTTGGTGTCTCTCTGCTCTGTGTACTTCTCGCTATATCTTTTAACCCATCGCTCTATAGAGGATAGCAGAGCTCAGTCAGAAGGCTCAGGCGAACTCCAGCATGGCGCACCCTGGTGGTCACAGTGAGGAGCAACCCGAAGGTCTGGCACTCCAGCTGGCAGACAGCAAGGCAAAGCTCCGGCGTCTCAAACAACAACTGTGAGTGTCGTGTTTGTACAGATCATAAATTCTAGACAGACTTAGAAAACTGTGGGTTAGGTTTTCGCTTACACTAAACTGTGAAATTTCTTCACATTTTAATTTTGTTGTTTTCCAGAGAAGACAAAGGAGATCAGATTTTGGATTATAAACAAGAGATTGAAGCTATGGATGAGCAGATCAAGAAATTACAGAAAGAGGTATGAAAAACTATTTCTGCCAATAACAGAAAATATATATACACAAATTAAATAGCAATATTAATTTTTGAGTAACTTTATTACCACCTTGTGATAAGTGAATCAAATAGTGGCACAGCCTCAGTGGCTACTGCAGTTTTTATGGGGCCTAAATACATATTACACTTATCATTGCTTGTTTAATAATAATAATGAATTCCAATATTTCATTTTATTTATCAGCGGCTTTCTTGACACTTAAGGACACATTACAAAGAATTAAAAGACATAAACAAATGCTTACTGTGTAGACTATATTGCCTTGTCCTTCACCTTACCAGTCCCTCTCAATGCTTGTCTTACGTATCTGTGAGCTCAGAAGCGCTCCCTGCAGGCCGAAGTGAGAGGCATGCGTGTGCTGAGGGATGAGCTGGACTGCACCCGCGAGCGGGCAGCCCGGGTCGAGCACCTCCAATCTGAGCTTCAGAGCTGTAAGAACAAACTGCGTGGACTCGATATAATGCGTACTCAGCTTAAGGTAAACACACATTTTCTTTTGATAAGGTCTTTTGGGTATAAGGTGTCTAAATGAGATGAGAGCTGATAATTTATTGTTGATGTGAAATAATGCACATTGTTACCAAAATAAATTATCTTCTTAAAATTGTTAATCTCCATTGTGGATATTTATTAACATTTTTTTTTTTATTTGTACAGAAAAATAAGTTCTGCTTTGTTAATCATTGTCTTATGTGTCATTGTTTAACTAATTGCATAAATACAAAACATATAATAGTAGTCCTCTGTACCTTCAACATAACTATTATTGAGTTAAGTTATTAAGTGCACAGAGGCTTCTCCTTAACCACCTCTACTTGTAACCAGCTGTTAACATAACCAATATAATTACAAATCAGCAGAGCGTATTCTACTACTACATAGATCTTACCGCTGAATGAAACAGCTGAAAAGATCTTCAAACCCTTTTGTGAATAGCTATTATTTGTAAAAAATAATCTACTACCACTGTGTCTTTTCATTGCCCTGAGCTTTTCAATCATGAGTGAGTGAGAACAACTCCAGATCTTAAAACCACAGAATGAGATTATATTGTGTGATGTCACCAGGATTCACAGCCCCGAGCCACTTTGACACAGAGCAGGGTATGGCTCCTGTTATCGGGGCTTTTAACTCCAAATGAAATTGAATCTTTGAGTAATGAAAGTAAGATGCAAAATGTGTTCATATATTAGTTTTTTTTAAAAAGCTTGTGCTATCCTAGTTGTCACCTTGTCTGACTACCTTGAATAGTTACAATCAAGTAATCAAATTTAAAACAATGCATTAAAGTAGAAGCTGTTGGGGAGAGTAAATGGGAAGGCTGAAGCAGTGACTAAACTGAGTAGTGGAATAGTTTTGGTTCATGTGTGTTAATATTAATTCTGTTGATAGTTTTTTATGTTTTTGTTTTGTTCTCTTTGTTTAAACGTATGGGAAAAACTGACCATATTTTAATCACAAAAATAATGACAAATAATAATTAAAAAAATCATGCATAATAGCATGTGATATTTTAATTTCCAGGAGCAGCAGCAGCTCTGTGCAGCACTCCAGGAAACCAAAGCTCTCCTTGAAGAACAGCTGTCTGACGCTCGGGCACGGTGCTCCTCAATGAGAGAGCTGGAGAAAGAAAATATTCTACTGCGACACAAAATGACAACTGTGGAGGCTGTGAGTGGAGCAACATTTTTTGTCCTCACAAAATTATAAATTAAGTGTCTTTTTAAATTACTTGTTATCTCATACATTTTCATGCATTGGTTTTGATTGCACTGATATGATCTGGTCTAGGAACGGGACACTGAGAGGCAGCGCGTTGACGAGTTGTTAGAAATGAACATAAGCCTTGAGGCCGACCTGAGGCAATGCAGTGAGAACGGGACGTCCACTGACACCCCAATCCAGCAGAATTTTGTCCAATCAGAGCCTGACTCTGACGAAGGCTTGTGGAAATTGATTGGTGAGGGAACTTGGTTTTTCCACACACTGTCATTTAGAACATTTTAATTAACTGATAAGAAAATAGAGTGAGGTAATACTGACTTGCAGATTATCATTCAACAATATCTGTCTCCTCATTTGCTCCCTACACTCTTTTTCCATTTTTCTCATGTTTTATTTTTTTCCTCTTGTAGATCAGACACCGCTGAGCGTGGAGGTGGGGGAAGCTTCCACACTGAGACTGCTTGGAGCGGAGCAGGAGAATGCTGAGCTGAGGAGGCGTTTAGAGGAGTTACAAATGCAACAAGAGGTCAGAGTTCAGAGGGTGAAGGTTAAGACTTGTATAGAAGGAATCCATTTCATTTCATTTCCTTTTGGCAAAAGGTTATAGGGTACAGCAGGTCACCAACATAAATCCACATATGTAATCAAAGGGCAGTGGAGGATCACACTAGTAAAGTGCACGTCTTTTTCTTTGACGCACGTTCTTCTCTTCGCATGTTCTTTTTTTACTTTCAGGATAATTCACAGTTCATTGGTCGTACCTTGACCAAAATCACCACTTGAGTTTTGCAAAACTGTATCCTGTCTTTTAACATCATATGAATGAACATGAAACGAAAACATTGGGAGTGAATAGTGGAGGAGTTCAACCTTTTTTCCTGCTGCAGGTCGATCTGCCAGAAGCAAAAGATGAGCTGGAGATTGAGCATCAGAAAACACTGAAGGAGGTTTGTAAAAGATGATAATAATTAAATGGCCCACAATGCCTATATGATTAAATAATTAATTTTAACTTTTGTGATGTATTATATTGTGTAAAAAATATTTTTACATATTTAAACATCATTCATGCTCATTATATTTGTCTTTCTGCAGCTACAAAACTTGGAGAATGAAAATGTTATGCTGAAGCAACAATTAGAAAAGCTTGTCAAGAAACTGCAACATACACAAGAGGAGAAGAAGAAACCAAATGAGGAAGTAAAAGAGGAAGCAATGCAGAGAGGGGTCCAGGGTGTGGAGTTTCATAGGGGTGAAGGAGTAGGACAGGGAAGAGCCATAGAGGATCTTACAACAGACATAATAAGTTTCCAAAGGCAAGCTGGAGTTGGTGAAGACTTTTTAGAGAGAAATATGGGTGCACAAAATGAAGAGATGCAGAGGGGCGAAGCAGAAGGGGACCAGAAGGACAAGGGGAGTGTGGAGAACAGCACAACAAATTTAACCACAGACACTGAAAATGTATCTAATAAGCCAATGTGCTACCTCTCTGGTCCTGAAATGGAGCGCCTTACTCACCAGCTCCAGGAGGCTCAAGATGAGGCTGAAAAGCAGGCCAACACCATCCAGGACCTGCGCTCTAAACTGGGGGAACAAAGCCGAAAAACCTGGGAAGCAGAGCAAAGACTGGTGCTCCTCGAGGCCGAACTACAGCGACTGAAGAAAGCAGCAGATAGTCTGGGAGAAGCCCGCAGGCACATAGAGGTAACAACATAAACAAACTCAGCTTCATGAATATGTGAATGTGTCCATCACAAGATATTAAAACAAAAATATTAAAACTCCTCGCTCGTTAGGTGCTGCAGTCGGACAATCTGGTTATGGAGGAGGAGCTCTGTCGTTTGCGGAGTCAAGTGGAGCTCCACAGGATGCAGACCACTATCATCGCGACCCTAGAGGGGGAGCGCGCGACTTTGGAGAGAGACAGAGACGCGCTGCGCAGCACCGTGGACGTCCTGCGCACCAACCAGCGCAAGGTACAAGTGGTCACTTATACATTTAAAGCAGTAACAATGGCAGTGTTAATTACTTATCATGGGTAATACAGTGATCCAAGTTTTCTCTATTTGGTCATCACTTTCTGGCATTTTTTCCATCCTTTTTATCTGGCCACTGCTATGGGTATGTTAATGGTAATTACACGCATTTCTGCTAAATTTTAATTGGTAGGCATTTCGAACAGCTATAAAAAGCTTTTTTATGTTCTCTCTGCATAAATCTCTTAAAACAAAATAAGTCCTGCCCAGAACTAATTTATCCAAGTCCATAAAACAGATAAAAGGATGTCATAATGGAGCTTGTTAAATGTGTGTTGAAAAGGTTGAAGATTTCTGTTGTAACATTCTGATTGTGATGTAGTCTGATGATTTCCAGAGAATACCTTTGTGTGTAATTAATTTTGTGATGTTGGGGTATTGCACATATGCACAAAATTATAAAAAACTTTTAGACTAGTCATGCTTGAGGATGAAAAATAAACATTACTATATTTTTATTCTGTATCATACAGCTCTAAATGACTTAATTATAGTTTTATATTTATCTTTCAAATATGTAATATATATTTGACGATATTAACTATAAGTGGTCTACATTAAAAGTATTGATACTTGATAGAAGTGAGGGCTTGGTTGTGAGTTTTATTCAGATTCAGTGAGAAAAATGCAAGTGTGTAGCACAGTTCATGGTGTAGCATGCGTAGTTCTCTCCAAAGAGGGGGATGTAGAATTCAGTGAAAATGGGACTTAATGTGCTATTTGCAGTAAAATCCCCTGACATCTGAGAAATTGTCAGCTAAGGAAAAGAAAGAACAGTGCAAAAGTCAGCACTAAAGAAATACCATTAAATGAATTTATGAATTTGTCACAGTCAGGAGTCATTTATAATATTTTAAATTTTACTCTGATAGTAACCAAGTTTAATTACTCCTGTTTTCACTCCATTTTTAAAGGATACATCAGACCTAAAGCTTTAGTCCATTTGAAAACAATTATTCTCAAACACATTAGATAAGTTTTATCATACACTACAGTGTATTTCTGATATGAGATATATATGATATATGAAAACTATTTTATTCACACAAATTTCAAAGGCTTTGTTGCATCAAACATGTTTTTAAAAGATTATTATTAAATTATTACTGCCTGTGTCATCTGTGCTCATTATAAGAGTTTAAAAGTTGACTCTTTCTTTCATCATTTCTCAACACTGTAAACTACAAAGTCTCAGAGTAGATTTACTGCTTCACAATTTTGTTGTATGAATAACATAATTTAACTTTGGTGCAGCACAGTCAGCAGCAAATAGAAATATGCTCATTTCAACACATTGTACTCCTGCAAAACAGAGTAGTTTGTTGTGACCGAGAGGAAGTTTTTGTGTTCCATGACCAGATTAAAAAGCCAGAAATAATGAAAACTCTAGCAGTCTATGTTCAATGGAACATGAAGTGCAATCTCTCTGACAATACAAACTTGTGACTGAAAAATAACTTTTATTTATTGGCGGCATGGTGGCTGAGTGGCTAGCACTCATGCCTCACAGCAAGAAGGTTCTGGGTTCGATCCCCGGGTCGCCCAGGCCTTTTTGTGTGGACTTTGCATGTTTCTCCCCCATCAACCCAAAAAACATGCTGCATAGGTCTCCAGAACAGTTGATAGTCATGGTCAGTTAAATACAATCAATTCAATCATTGTGTCCTTAGGCAAGACACTTCGCCCAATTTGCCTAGTATGAAAGTGGTGTGTGCGTGAGTGATGGTGGTGGTCAGAGGGACCGATGGCACCGAATGGCATGGCAGCTGCGCTTCTGTCAGTGTGCCCCAGGGCAGCTGTGGCTACAATAGTAGCTTACCATCACCAGGGTATAGAGTGTATGAATGAATGCTGAATAAAGTGTAAAGCATCTTTGGGGACAGAAATGTCTGTGAAAGCGCTATATAAATAAAGACTTACTTATTTTTTTACTCTTTATTTAGGTTGACCAGTTAGAGCTCACCATTCAGACCCTGCGTTTGGAGCTGGAGTGCCAGGGGCGGAGTTTAGATACCTGCCGGCGACGAGAGGAGGAGTTGGAGGCGGAGCTTCGGGAGGCCACTTTAGAGAGCGAAACACTGACCAAAGCCAAAGACCAGGCACTGCTGGAGGTCACTCGTCTGGAGCAGGAGAAGGACAATTTTCAGGCTGAGCTTGATGATCTTCATAAAGAAGCAAGGCAGAAAGAAAGGGAAGTGACGAGATTAAGGCAACAATTGGAGAGCACCACCCTCGCCCTGGACAGCAGCCACCAGAGGGCCCGGGCTGCAGAGACTGAGCATAAGTATGTGTCCTGTGGCAGCTCAATAACATTGTTCTGTTAATACGATTACTTTCAGTTCTCAAATAAGGGTCTGGACCATTAGAGGAAGCTATGATCAGGCAAAAGTAGAATTACAGTCCCACATGTTCACCCACCCAACCACCCTACCAATCAGTCACACACGCAGTCTCTCTCTCTCACACACACACATGCACGTAATCACACCCCCACACACACGCACGCACACACCCACACACACACACACACACACACACACACACACACACACACACACACACACACACACACACACACATAGGCACGCCCAAACTGGGTTTCCATACTTTTTGGGGACATCACATTAACCATAGTTACAACTTGCCTAACTTTAATGGAAAACCCTAATTAGAGTTTTAAATCAGGTCATCAAACTAATAATAAACGTTTTACATGACAATCTGTTCTATAAGGCAAGTTCCTATTAATTGGGTGTGTACATATTTTATTTTATTAAAATGATTTTGAGTTTTACACACACCTTTTTAACCCGTTATGACCTGTGTTCTCTTTTAATGTTGCCAGGCGTGTTTGTCGGCAGCTGTCTGAATCGCAGGAGCTCTGCACTCGGCTCCAAGACTCGGAGAAGGAGCTGGGCGTTGGTTTGAGCCGCTCTGAGGCGGAGAGGCAGCAGCTGCAGGAGCAGTATGCACAGGCACAGGCCCAGATTAGCACATTGTCCCAGGTGTGTTTTGTCATTTAGGCATTGTGAGTGGTGCATTCAAACTCAGCAGTAGAACTGGGGCACCCATCAATATATTGTGTTATAATGACAAATGACATTATGGTTAAAATATAAGTATTTGTGGAATTTGTATTAAAAATAGTTATTGGATTAAAAAATGTTTTTTTATTTAGTTTCCATGGTTGAGATCTCTTGCTTAGTCTTCATACTGAAGAGCTCATAGAACACATACAGTAAAACTATATGGTACTCATTCAAAGTAAAGAATTATACATGCATTTGCTTGAAAACTGTAACAATTATGTTCATCTTAAGAAGCAAAGTCAAGATGTAATATCTTGGGTCATTACTTTTTCAGATTTATTAATTTCTAAAGTCAATCTGTACTTTGTTCCAGGATCTGGCAAAAGAGCAGATGCATTGTCAAACTCTTTCTACTGAAGTTGAGCATTTGAACAACAAGCTCCAAAATGCTGAAACTGGCCTGAAAATGTCAAAAGAGTCACTTGACCAATCACAGCAGAAAATAGGTATCCTTTCATCTGATCTCAAGAAAATGGAACGTCTGCTTGAATTGGAAAAGAAGAAGAAAAGTGCAGACGAAGAGGGCAATTCTTCAGTAAACAAAACACAAGTTAGCGAGCCAGAGACAAAGGAGATGTCAGTGATGGATCAATCACACAAATCTAGCAGAGTTCCTGATGTGAACTGCAACAGGCATGAGACAGAAGAGACTGTGAAGGAGCTGAAAGCAAGCCTTGCTGAACTGGAACGAGAGGTCTGTATTTGTCAATACATGATATTTATAGATGTATATGTCTTCATTTTAGTTGCAGTCGACAGGGTGAAACTGGGTCACTTGATGGCGCTTTTGTGAAAGAGAGACAATTTTATTATATTTAATTTTTTGCTCTTGGGATTCTCAGTGACTATCAACTCATGCAGGTCTGCAAAGTGTAGCACTTTATTCCCAGAACTTGGGTCTTATCTGCAGTCATCGGGTTTTATAATGTCACCTCGGCTACTGTTAATCTTCCTTATCTGCTCTACTTCTCCTGCACTCCTCTCTCCATCTAAAACACACACAACTCCACCATCAACCTATATGTGTAACCAAGGTCAGGAGTTTCATTCTGTGCAGGTACTCAGCAGCCTCCATGTTAACAGTCTTAAAGCGTGTCCAGGCCCTCTCCATAGAGGGCCAATGTGTTCTTAGCTGGCTGATCAATTGGCACACATGATTTCCTGAGAAGCATGAAAAATAAATACAAAAGTGAAAAAGGGTAAAAGCACAAGCAAGAAGCCGCAACCCCTTAAAACTTCCAAAAAAAAGAGAAAAAGATTAAGTTGTCAACACTACTGTAACTCCCCCCTCTCTGGCATTAATAATAAAACTCTCTTGCCCCTACATCTGGTTCAGAATGCAGCAGCTAGGGTTCTCACCAGTTTTAATCGATCACCCTTTCACTGCCTGCCTGTGCATTTTAGATTTTACTAATCACTCTTAAAGCTTGTTTAAGTCTTGCACCAAGTTACATTTCAGAACTTTTAACTCCCTACGAGCCCTCCCACAGCCTTAGATCCTCAGGCAGGTCCCTGTCAGCCTTTTCACAGTGGAGGCTCCGGACAAAGGGTGATCAAGCCTTCTTGGCCCTGGGGCCTCAGCTTTGGAATGATCTGTCTGAGGAGATGAGGCTTACACCATCAGTATAATCGTATAGCACTTCTTAAAACTTACTGTTATCTTCAGGCCTTTTTATGAAATATCTCCTATTTTGATGTGTGCATCTTTTATTTATATTGTTGTTGTTTTTTTATCTTTAGTTTTTCTTGCTTTTTTTTGTCTCAGAAAGCAGTGGCAGTTGCAGGTCAGGAGACCTTGTTGTCCCGTCTGTCTCAGTCTCAGGAGGCCTGTGAGCATCTTAAGGAGCAGTTGGAGGCTCTTCGGCGTCACTCTCTCAGTCTGCAGGACTCTTGCACCCGATTACAGGGTCTCAACACACAACTACAGGTGAAAGAAAGCACAAACTAGCTCAGATGTACTAGGAAGATGCTGGCACAAGATGTATGTGCTGCATGGTGACAAAGTAGCAACTTGTTGACCAAGACTTCTTCTGTTACTACCTAGCACTTGTAGTATAGATATGTAACATGTAGCTGAATACAAGTGGGGGAGTTATTCAAACTATAAATTGTTTTTGTTACACAGATTGAACAAGCCTCGGTGAATTCTCAGCATGCAGCAGCACTAGCACAGTGTAGTGAGGTCAAAGCCCAGTGTGCAGCTTTGGAAGCAGAGTCAAAGGTTTGGGCGCGGGAGCGTGAGGAGTCCCAGGCTCGAGTGGAGGCTCTGAGACGAGACCATGAGCGGCTCACGGCCCTGCAGCAGAGGCAGGAGCTGGAGCTGGAGGAGCTGCTGGAGAAGCACTCACAACTTCGCAGCAGCTCCCGCACCCTGGATGCCCAGCATAGGGAGCTAGAGTGCAGGTAGGTAAACATAGGGAATATACTTTAGTGGTTGTTTTGTTAAATTTTAAACTAGGAGTAAGATTTTTTTTTTCTTTCTAAAATCTAAAGGTACCAAGAACTTCTTGAGAGGAAAGCTCAACTTGAGGACAGAGAACGGGAAGTGGAGCTTTTGCGAGTAGAAATGGAGGCAGGAGCCCAAAACCAAATGGAGAGGCAACGTGAGCTGGAGAGACTGAGAGAAGACAATGAGAGGTAACTGCTCTATTCTGCCAGACACTTTGTTTAGCATTACATTCAGAGGATGAGATCATCCGTTCACTTGACTCCTCTTTGCATTCATGCTTATTTAAATGTGGAAGAGCCTCTCTTTGAAGCAGGAAACATAAAACACATTTGAATGCAAATGTGCTTTATGCAGAGATCCTGTGTCCTGTGTACACTAAAAAAACAGCAATTTAGCAAATGAATTTTGTTTTTTTCTTAACTGCCTTCATGTTATTGACTATAGATGTATTTGCAGTGATCAGTGATCCCATATCAGTTTTTGGCCTGAACATTTAGAATAATACTGAAATATTTCATTATCTATATATCTATATTTATCTTTATATCTAACTATCTATCTATATCTATATCTATCTATAACTCTCTCTCTTTCTCTCTCTCTCTCTCCCCCTCTCTCTCTCTCTCTCTCTCTATATATATATATATATATACAATAACAAAAATGAAAAATTATAGAATGACTACACTCCTAATGAGTCATTTTACATATGCACTTAGGTTCTCTTCTAACATTTACTTTGATGATTTTACTCTTCATATCATAAATGACTTAATAATGGGTTTTACTTAGAGCGCACTTAACTAATGAGGGGATGTAGCCCTGCATGGGTCACCTAACAATAACAGATGAGTGTAGTTCATGCGTGTGGCTGTTACAGGCTGCAGGCCCAGCAGAAGGAGTGGCTGGCATCCCAAGCCGAGCTGCTGGCTCAGGGCTCGGTGCTGAGGGGGGAGCTGAGCACCTCCCAGCTGGAAAAGACCCGCCTGGAGGGGGAACTGAGCACCCTGAGGGAAACACACCAAAGCCTGGACATTAGCTACGCCAGGTTAACCAGCCAGTTCCAGGTCTGACACAGTCACACAGACACAGCTCACATTTACAGCTGTAGCTAAATCCTAATTGCAGTAAATAGAATCCCTTGAGAAGTCACTGCTCTTCTGTAGATGGGATTGCACACTGCTCTTATCATGGAAACACAAATGCCAATATAATTAGGTTGAAGAATAGGTGAAAGTATGGTTTTAACATATCCCCTTATAATCAGCTATGTGGAATTCAGTTCAGTTTCAGGCAGTGTATTCATGTGTTTTTCATGTCTTTATAAGAGAGTACAGTGAGTAGTCAGTCATACTCACTGAGCCTGTAAAGAGCGATCTTATTAAAAGGGAAATGGTCAAACCTGTTAAAGACCATTATCCCTGCTGTCACAATGTTTCCTAAATGGGCTCAGCTTTGTGTAACTTTGACAAGAAAGGTAAAATAATTGGAATTTTAAAAAAAAAAGGCATCATCTGTGCACTTGTCCAGTCTATAGATTTGAAATATGTCTTCCTCTTTTGCTGCTATGTGGTATATCTGGCATGAATATATTTTACTGTTTTCAGCTACACTCCGCAAGGTTGGAACACATAGCAGAAATATAGCATCAAAGCCCTGTTGGGTAGGAAAAGTACAGAAAGCATGAAAATACATGCAATCAAAATGTGTACAAGGTAACATGTAAAAAAATAATAATAACAGTGCAAAACAGTGATGTTCATATGATTTAGACATTAATTGTAGGTTATGTTGATATTTACAATAATGTGTGATTTTCTAGTTGTTAACCAGTTGAAAGGAAACATGGAGGAAGAAAACCGTCATCTTGCCGAACAGAATCAGAGCCTTTTGAAGGAGAACCGGGCTTTACTGGAGCAGAGTTTGGAGCGCCGCGACCAGCACTACTCAGAGCAGAAGGAGTACCAGTAAGTCCAGACATCCTACCACATGTCCTCGAAGATTATAACACAATAGAGCACATATTATAAAGTACTACTTTCTTTACTAGTTAAAATAATTACAACTTGAAATATAACTGATAATATATAAAATTATATTAAAGTGTAATTTTGGAGGTAGTTTGTTTATTTTTTGCCATGTTGCATGACAGTTAAATAACAGATGACATGATGGTTGATATGAAAGTCCATGGGTGGTAGCAAATACAAAACACACCAACATCACACTTCTGATTCAGATAAATACAAGCTTGTGGTGTGATTACACTTTTGAAGAAAGTGTGTAACTGTAACTTCCTGTTTACAATTTTGAAAATGTGAGCTCTATTAAGTTATGGACATTAGTGCTGACAAAAGTAACACAGCTAGTAGATGTCCAATTTGAAATATTACTGTATATGAGTATCACACATAATATTTTTTGGCAAGTTTTTGTTCTAATTAAAGCTAAACATATGCAACTATTAGCAAGCTTTTTGGCACCATTGCTTCAGTTGTTCATAATATTCATGTCTTTTTTTTTAGGTTACAGGATGTACCAAAAATATTCTCAGTTACTAAAACAGAATTTAAAACATCATTTTACAAAAGAATTAATTTCATAAATCAAAGATCTTGTTTCCAGTGTGAAATAGAAATGATTAAGCAATAATCTTTTGCTCTGACTTTCAAAAGACTTGATTTGTTACCTCACTTAAACAGGATCAGGCTCAGTCCCTCACTATGAGCTTTGTTACATTCTCACTACAGCAGTAAACTTTTCAAAGATGGCCTGATGATAAATGCATGAAATAAATGAATTTGAAACAGCTCCTTGTCTCTCAGCTCCTTCGCTTGCTGGTTTCCCCTTGCAGTGGCTTTGTTCTCATTCCTCTCATGGTTTTCATTCAGTGAGAAACTCGGCGAGCTCCGACGAGAGAAGCAGAAGTTGGTGGAGAAGATTATGGACCAGTATCGAGTCCTTGAGCCAAGCATGCAGCCTCCGGGCACTAAAGCCAAGTACTGTGCAAAATATGGTCATAGTTCATTGTTTGGTCATTCACTTATCTTGTTTATTACTTTAGTTATGGACTTAAATATGAGGTTCTTGGTTGGAAAATACTCTATTATTATATATTCTATATTTAGTTGGATATTGACATTTAGCTGCAAGATTCTTTCAAATAAAAGTAACACAAATATTTATTGTAAATACTGTACATAGAAAGGTCTTCAGAGCAGTGGGCCTGCTTGTCAGCATAGTAGAAGGGAAAAATGGACTAACACAAAACCCTAAACACAATTTAAAAACGCAACATTGAGTTTTGAACAAAAACAGAAAAAGAAAAAATAGAAAAATCACCTGCTCTTCAAACAAAAAATTTAGTTATTTACACCTAACCTTCAATTACTGTACATGTCGCGTTTCTAATGTGTGCTTGTGTTCTTCAACTCCCAGCCTTTTTAGTAAATAGTATGTGTCCTCTGTGTCCTCAAAGGAAATCTAACTGGATTGCAGACAGGATGAAGAAGCTAATCAAACCCCGGGGAGGAGGAGGAAGGGAGGGCCGCGCCCTCTTCACCGCTGCAGGCAGCGTGGAGAACCTGGCCGACAGCACTGAATTTACATCCGACTCACAAACAGCTCAACCCAGTGAGAGCACACACACAAACACTTTCTCAAAGATATGCTCACCCCATCAAGGGAGGCTACGGGCATGCATACAAATCTACTCATGACTACCAAGTGTGGTCAATGTTGATAGCACTGCTCTACTCGGTTCCATCCCAGAAGTGCCAAGTGTGCCTGCCATTCTCTGCTAACCACATGTTGAAAAGTGCACTATTGCATGGTTTCATTTTTGGCTGCTTTTACAACAACATGGCATGCATTCCTATATATATTTACTATCTGAGGCTTACTAATTACACATAGAGGACATTACAAGTAATTGTATTGTATATTACTGAATATTAACAATATTAATAATATTAATAATATAAGAACAATATTAGATTCAGGCAAGAATTTGTCTTGCACAAGAGAGCACATAAAATCACTGTTCAAAGGCAGGGGAAGACAGACAGGGCACAGTACTGGGATTATAAGTGCCTGATCTTTATTGTTAGGTTGACGTTCCATGCAATTTAGGCTTTGTGTGTAAAAAAAACAAAAACAAAAAACAATTTTAATACAGTTTAAGACAAACTGAATGGTGTAGATAGGATTAGACATATTATAACAATTACAAAATGTTCTCTCCTGTAGCGGCAGACCCGCGAAGTGCTCCTGTGTCTCCATCCCCCTTGAGGAAGGCCTCACCTCCGGCAGAACCTGACTCTACAGTAACAGGATCTCCAGTGGTGCGTTCTGGCTCTGGAGGCCGGCGTAAACTGGGTTCTCGTCATGGCTGGGGCCTGGGACTGGCACAAGGAGGGCCTGTGTCTCAGTCATTTAGTCCTGGAGACAGAAAGCTCCCACCTCGCCTCCGTTTGGGCTCCAGTCCACGCACTTCTAGAGTGCTGTGGGAGGGGGAGAGAGGGGGAACTCCCCCAAACACTGACTCACCTCTGTCCTGTCAGAACAGTGTGGAAGCAGAAGAGGGCCATGGTGATGAGGACAAAGCATGAGGACAAGTTATTAAGAGGTTTTATTTAAATTGCACAAAAAAACGAAATTACATGTCTGTTGACAATTATGTGTACAGGACAGTTAAATGCATATTGTATAAGAGATCAATTTATTAAATTACATAAATTAGTATGTATCTTTAGTGTTTCGGTCTAGTTTAAGATCATACCTCCTTATTAAAAGCCTATCCAGTTTCACAGTAATTCTGTGTAACGTCATAGTTTTAGATAGACTGCTGATACAAATTCGACTTAACCCTCTCAGGCTCAAATTAATTTTTAGTATCAGGAAAAATCTGATATTTGGGGAAAATTATAATATTGGGTAGTAATATACAATCCTGACTTTTTTATCCTTTGTAAAAAAAAAAAAAAAAAAAAAGTATTTTGCACTTCTGGCAGGTCGTTTGCATGTAGCCATTCTTGCACAGTCTGCATCGCCCACGTTTATCAGCACGGATGGGAGAAAAGGCTCCTGAGTTAAAAAAGCTCATAAAATATGGATGTGGAGTAAGTAGGTAATTGGCATTTAGCTGTTGCAAATCTGCAACGCCTGCCTGGAGAGGGTTAAAAACATTAAAGTTCTGTGCCAACTGTGCACCGTCTTCTCCTCTTAAAACTCTTACAGGATTATCTGAAATGTCTGCTGATGCCCTGTTCTCTCTCATCACTTCCTTTAGTTTGCTCACCTTAAGATGAAAAAATATATATCTTGTCACACTTAAGAGCTGCACTTAAAGGTAAAAGCATGGTACTCAAATGACTAATATTGCATCTAAAAGTAAAAAATAATAAATATGAGAGCTTTTTCTTCAAAGCCTTGGACTAATAAAATGAGGGAAACACATGTTCTTGATGGAACATGTGAAAGTGGATGGCATATATTAGGATAAATATGGAGAAAGCAGCCATCTGGCTCACATATGGTTGAAAAATCCATTTTAGGCTTCTTGTTTTAATCCTGTCACTGATCTGATGGCAATTGATCTCCTTTAGTGCCTTAATGAGACGCCTCTCCACTGGTTTCACTGTTACACCAAATGGTGTCAGTGTGGAGTTGTGAGGACTGGTGCTGCCGTACACACGCCTTGCACGCGCTCAGACGGAGGATGAAGGGGAATTAGCATGCAGCTTTCCAAATGAGCAGACCTGAGAGTTCATTGTGGAGCTAAAAGGATGCTCTTAGAAGACAGGCGGAGCTCCTATGTGAGAGATTAGGAGCCAATACATCAGCATATCCAGTCGGACAGGGGTCATGTCTTATTCTTACTGAGCCTGCAATACGTGTGTGTGTTTACAGGAGACAACTGCAGTTTTTCCTCAAGCTTCACAGCCTGAATTTTGATTTGAATGACAAACAGGCTGCTAATACAATTCATGAATTATGTAGTTGTCATGGTGACATTAATCAAAAAGCTGTGCTCTCTTTTTGCAGCTCTGAACATTGTGTTTTGTTGAATTGAGATGCATGACAGGGCGTGCGCACGGAGCTGCATGAATGAGCACAGGGCAAAGCGATAGCAAGATATTGGTTCTGCCAGTCACTCAGAGGCTTATTATGAGAGCATCGCAACAATCCCATGCCCTTAGGCTCCAAGACATGCAGGGTCCCAGCTTAGGGGGCTAGTGTAGATATTTCTATGAGGGCACACTTCAGTTACCATTTTGATATCTCTCTAAAGCATATAATTCCACAGTTTCTTGAAGTGAAAGAAAAAAAGTGCATGATTGCCTTTTTTGACCCTAATTTATTCGGTTGTCTTGCAAAAATTATAATATTGTGTTGGAAAGCGTTATCCTTGTGAGAATAACAAGCATTTGGAAATCATGCAAAAAACATGAGCGATTAAGTGTCATCTCTGTCTCTAAACCCTGAAGTGTTGAGAATGATTGATGGATGCCTTGCCTCATTTGTTGTTTAGATACAGGGCTCTCATCTATTTAATTATTGAGCACCTGTGAATCGCTAACCACTCGCTACACTTTTGTTTTCCAGTCTCTCATGTATACTTTGTGCAAAGTTTTTTTCTCAGTCCAAGTGTGTTTTTCTCTTCCCTTTGTTTCCTCCTGAGCTATCAAATTTTAATGTCTGTGTCTCACTAAAGAGCCTCTAGTGAGTAAACCCTCAGTTCAACCACTTAAGTGAACTAACAGGACAGCCATGGCATCCTAAATGTGATGCATTAGGTTTAGTTGAGATAAATGAGTCTTGTGAATTCAAATTGAGTAAATCTATTTGCTTTTTGTACAACACCAAACTTCACTAATGCAAACTTATAATTCTGTGATTGTTTTCGGCCCCTTCTCCCTGCAGAGTCCAGACGAGGGTTGATAGGTGATATTTGATCAGAAGTTTTGGTGTAATTCAATTAATTATATTTTGCCCCAGGCTCTAGAGAAGGTTAAGGGAATTGTTGTGAGGGTGGAGAACAATACAAAAGCTGAAAAAATAACTAGTTAAGAGTGCTGTTTGTGCGCATACTGGCTGACCCCACAACCTTACCTCCTCACAAAGCTGTCAAGTTCCCAGTGCTTTCACCGGGCTCTTTCCTCAATGAGGTTAGCCCAAAGGTGAGTCTCTTCATCTATAACTTCCCCTCCGTCTGCCTCCATCCATCTCCACAGACCCCCACTACACTATTTCATCATCGCTGCTCCGTCCCGTTGGTCTGTTTGTCTATGCTGCACCCTCCTCCTCCTCGCACTGCCTCTCTCTCTCCCCCAGTGTATTAAGGGACTTTGACGCTCTCAGTAAAAGCTGATTTATGCTCCTGGTTGTATCGATCGGTTTCTGCATTAAAGATTATAATTCATTACCCCAGCCTCTTTTAATACATTAAACACTCAAAAATAAAATAAAACCCCGTAACACCTCCTCCATCTCCCAAACAAACAAGGCCATGGGGATTCAAGACTGCACCTGCTAACTCGTGCGACCTCATATTCACCACACAGCTTTGATGTTGTGTTCCAGACAACGCCCAAGTTGAACATTTATATCATTTTGATCTAATGTTGCTTTCGAACTGATCTATAGATTCCGCTCAGATGGGTCAAGTTAAAGATTTGTCTAGTGCTCCCATCCACTGGTCTGCTTGTCAATACCTGCCTACATGGGATAGTAAGGATTTAAGAAATGTCATGTGTCGCCTATTGATTTTACCCCAAATGGCTGTACCAATTCCCCGCACAAAACAGGACTGGCCTTCCCCATTGCCCTGACAGATTGATTTTGTATCTGGGGTTGTAAGGACTTGAGGAGCAATCCCTCTGATTTGGGCCTGCTCGCGCTGTCACTCTGACGGACAATTTCCCTCTTCATCCCCCCTTTTCTCCTTCCATTAAAGGACTCTTCTTACCTCCGAGCCCCAACTTCTCTCCCTTGCTCGTTTCCATCTGACAGGCTTTCAGACAGTAAATCAGCGACATTGATCCAGCACAGCGCCCAAGTGTCCTGGATTCTGCTAAAGAGCCATTTTCATTTCACAAGCAGTTTACTGGCCTGGCGAGCCCCCACCCGTAAACATCGGTCCCCCTCCCGCTTCTCTCGCTTTCCTCCAATACAGCCTCATCCATACACATCACCACACACGCCCAACCGCCAGAGCATGCAATACTGTAATGCACAATTGTAGTTGTGCTGTGAATTGTTTCTTAAAGCTACCATTTGTAATTGACTGGCCGACCCAGCCCTGTTTTCTCACAAAACACAATTAGATGTTACCTATGTTACTGCTGTCTGATAGTGTGCCTGAACAAAGGGCAGGTAAGGGAAAGAGGGATGACAGGTTTTACATCTGCCATCTACTGGTACAAAAAAATAAATAAATCAAATAAACTTACAGATGGTAGCTTTAAAACTTCTATTTTCACATAAGAAGCACTTCTGCCATGGTATTGAAGCACTTTCAAGTGGTCAGACTTAGTTAAACTTATTTAGAATTATTATATTTGTTTGATATTTGCAAAATGAAGAAATGCGTGGCTCTGCATTGTCCATGCGTTTTATGGCCATTAACTATGACACCACTGACCCTTTAAAACAAAAGGGAACCCATTATGTATAGACTTGTATGAGCCTATTGTTCTGCATTTGAGCGCTCAGAAAGTACTCTGAAATTTCAGGTTTGAACAGGAAGTTAAGGGAGCCTGTGCCTATTATTAAGCTGTTTTAGTTCAATATCATAATTTACATGTTAAAACCTATGTTATAGATTAATACTGAATACCAAATGCATAATATGTCCTCTGTAATGTTGACATGTGATCATGACTCCATTGTCGTACACAAATAAACCTTCACAAATTATAGTGGTTAGTAGTCAAGGTACACTTCATTATCCTCTTACAGAGATTTGTCCTCTGAATTTTACCCTTCAAAGGTGCTGGAGCAAACTGTAATTTTGGGAAGCTACATTGTTAATCCAGTCTAAATAAAGATCTTTTGGTGGACATTTTCTGTACTGAGTTTGATATGGTTCAGTTGTATTTTATGATGATGTCACTTAGTTAAATCATGTATGAAAGACCAACCTTGAACTCCCATTAATCCCTGATAATTCATGAGATATGAATGTATGGAGCGATGCATAATGTACGCTTGAATCTTCACATACATTTGTGATTATCTACAGTATGTCCCCTAAACTAAAACGTTATCATATTTTGTATTCACTCTGCTATGTCAGGTATATGTTTAACAGAATGTATAACTTCTTTGCAAAAGCTACATCTTGTCAAATCAGAAACAACACAATTTACATTTTGAATATATAATTATCAATACAAAATGTTTTTGTGATTACTGAAAAATGGGGAAGCATCTAATGTCGGGGAATATTTTGTCAATATAAGCTAATATCATAATTACATAAGATGAAAGAAAAAAGTGCCCCCTTACTTTTTTGCTCACCTTGCTTTTATGTTAAAAATATAATTTAATTTTAAATTAAATTAAGACTCTATGCTAGCATTCTAAATGCTGATTGGACAGTAAGTTGAAAATCATACAGTTCTGGTGTTTTGTCTTGTTGCTAGACTTTAGACTAGTTTTTAAAGCAAATTATAAGTGGATGTATTAAAGTAGATGAAACAAAAAACAAACAAACTGTACAGCCTCTCTCTCTGTCAGCACAGTAATTTTCATCTCTAAACTCAAGTGAAATGAGACGGATATAGATCTACAGTTAAATATGCTTTTCAAAATTGACATTATGACCCAAATACACATAATACTTTGCTTGAAACTCATTAATTTGAGTTGCCAATTCCAAATCAGTTTGTAATGTTGCAAAAAGCTCCATCAAGGACAAGGACCAAGCACATAACTGATCTTAAATCTCAAGGACCAGAGGCCAGACTGAAAAATCACTACAACAGGTGTTCACATTGAACATTTGTTCCCGTAGGTGCATGACCTATAGACAAAAACACTTTGGATTGAGAAAAACTGAATACACAACACGTCACAGCATATTTCTTGGAGTTTAAAGATTAATGAAATCAATTTCGCACAGGTCATTCCATTTGCGATCAAACTGTTATTTGTGCCGAAATGTTGGTGTTTGGAAAAACATTGATGATGTTCAGCTGCATTTGTTTAATTCAATGTCAAGTAGAGACATTATTATGCCTATAAGTAACCACAAACTTTGTCCCTTGAGTTTTAGTGTATGAAGATGTGCAGTGTCTTTTCAACACAATATAATTCTCTAGTATTTACTCGATTGAATGACAATCCTTCCAGGGTATTTTCAAAAACGGATGCCACTGTGCGATCAGAAGCATATCATTTCTCCTGATTCAATAATCTACATTTTCTTGCCTTTTCATCTGACAAAACCATCTATAAATAAATAAGCCCATCACAGCATGGTTTACAGCAGTGGCCCTGGCTTCACATAGAGCATTTTGAACCTCCAGAGTTGGAGTCATAATAAACATTCAGTGCCACTGTAAAAGCACCAATTTGTCTTGCAGTGAGTTTTTCAGTTGTGAGACAAAGCAACAGTGGAGCTCTGAATAAAAATGCTTTCATTTAATGACACAGTGTTAAGGCCAAAAAATACAAATAGCAAGTAGATTTAGTTTTTCTTGCTGAAAGAACAAGTGAAATAGAAACACAAATGTTGAAGTGCCAGGGAAAATGTTGACGAGGCAGTAACCTGTTAGATGGCAGTGGATGGAACAGACAACAGCAGTAATTGGGCTAAAATCATGATCAAACACACACTACAGTCCAGACAGGACCCAAGCACACCGCTTTGTTCTCCTTCAAATATAACATACAAAAGTTGGTTATTCCACTGCCCAAAATTCAACTTCAATTGTAGATATTACTATCAGTTCAGGATGATAGTAGGCGATCAGCTTTACATTAAACAGGTTGCATAATTGGACTTCTACTGTCATGTCTCAAACAAAGAGGAATCTAAATCAGTGGTGCTGGGGGCGTGGTTGCTTTGGGGAGGGGGGGTGCTGACGGGACAGTGATGAAAATTGCTGGTAGGATAATGAGTCTTGTCTTTTCGTTCCTTGTCTCTCCTCTCATTACTCTGAAAAGTGACTGGTTGGAGAAAGTCTTCACAGTCTGCTGCCTATTTTTTAAAAAGCGTTGTGCCTTTAAATTAACTTATCAGCCTTTGCAACCCCCTCCATCTTTTTGTTCCCTCCTATGTCTTTGAGGTGGCTTCTCAAATCATCTGCTTACAGGGCATGGCCTTGCGTGCTGATTGGATTTTGAACTGGACATTCATTGTTAACCTATTACTACAGATTCATACAAATTAATTAACCTTTGTAACTCAGTGTAAACTAACAGGCAGAAAAAAAAAATTCTATCCAGGTTTGGCACTGACTCAAAGAGTACACTAATGACCCCGTATGTCTGGATTTTTGATGTGACAGAAACTGTATCAACCAGGGTTTGAAGTCTACCCTATAATTACTCGCCAACAACCTTTTTATGAAAATCAAACACTTGTTCATCAATCACACTTCTTATGTCTAGTAATAGAAAAAGCATAGAAAATAACAGAGCTACTAATCAATATGTGCAGAACAGCCGGTGATTAATTAAACCAATCAATCATCAGTTTTAGGGGCTTTTCTCTAAGGAGTCTTTATATTATCCAGGTTTGGGACTGGCTTGTTACCTCTTGTGGCTAGATTTATCCTTTCACTATCCTCTCCCTTTCACTCTCTCAGTTTGAACATCTTTCCTCTATCTCAGTCTACCATCTGTTTACTTTTTTCACATCCCGGAGAGCGAGGAAGTGAGGCCCAGACACGCAGGGAATCAAAGAGCTCAGGAGAGGAAAGAGCCTTTGTGGCAGAAGATACTTTTATAGAAAAGAGGGTCTTTTCTCTCAATATTCTTTCTTGTTTTTCCAGTCGTCCAGCTCCTCCTTCTTCTAACACAGCAGATTGTCCAGAATCAATAAAGATCGTTGTTGGCAGATGAAAGTCACTGGGCGGGACGGTGCCTCGCTAAACACAATCATTTGGATTTGTGCATAGCCACATGTGTGCTCTGCTCCCCGCCACGTGACGTCTACAAACAATTAAAGTCCCATACAGACACGCTGCTATGAGCCATATGGTGAGCCCTGACAGGAAGATGCACAGGCAAATAAAGAGGGGGATATTTTGAACAGGTGCAATCATATTTCAAATAAAACACTGACAGAGTTGTGCTACCTCTGGTTACAATGTGTCTCTTATTGCCTCTCCTTTACATAAATACACAGGCAAGAGGCAAATATTCATGTGGAGTGGTCCCCCGGGGCAGCATGCTCACCGTCTCGTTTCGCAGCCACAGAAATAATCAATTCATACACACCACACGCCCGAGTGTGATTAGTTTTAATAAGCTTTTGTCATCGCCTCTTGCATGCACACAAGAATCTCAATATTCACATCTCTCACACAAGACACATTATTCACTGGTTGCCTCGAGGTTAACACAAAAGCTAAACAGTAATGACACACGATTACAAGTTAAGGGCTTTTCAGACCGATTAGTCTCCACCACCAGTCTGATTCTGGCATGTTGCAATGAGTTTGCAAAAAGAATCAGGTGCAGAAGGAGATGGGCTTGGCGCAGACTGGAGAGAGCAGCACAATAAAGAGTCTATGGAGGGAAAGGTAGCAGCTGAAGCGGCTACATGTTGTCTGGGCAGAACATGTCCCTGTGCCAGGTGGGCAGGACAGGCATGGGACATGTATGAACAATATAAACAGCTGTAGAGGCCAGGTGGAAGATAAAACAATGGCTGACTGGAGACAAACAGGAGACACTACGCTAATGTTTACTTAGATCAGTCAAAGGTTTTAGAACACACAAACACCATCTCTGCAAGCAAAATCATTTGGTGAAGCATTTGCTGTGACAGAAACCAAACTGTAAAAAATAAGCAATGTGGAGTGAAAATCTGAATATATATATTTATATATATATTTTGAATTTATGTCAGTTAGGGTTAAAGGGGCAATAATTTAAATTTAGACAATTCTCTATTTGGAACTTCATCAGAGATACAGATTCTCAGACATCAATACAGCTCTTACATCTTCAGTCATTAACAAAAAAACAATAAAAATGTATAAACATCTGCAGAATGACCATATAAAGCCTCTTTTGTGGACTTATTTTCCTGCTTCAGAGGGGCTGTGATCTGCGTCAACAATGAAGGGAGACAGGAGGGAGAGCTAGAGTTGTGTATCCACAGCAACCAAACCTGACAAAACCACTCCACTCACAGTTTACTCCTGACAACAGCATCTGTGGGAGCACAAAGAGAAACATTTTTAAAATATCCAACAAGAAACAGTTGAACCTGGACATGTACTGGGTGCACTTTGGCTTTTGGCTACACTGGAATCATCTGTTATCCAGGATTTGTCACTCCAAGCCCAAGAATGGGCCAGAACATGCAGCCGCACATCAAAGGGGTTGAGCTGGTTTACTGGGGTAGACTTGGAGGTTTGCCTGTGTTGCACTCTGCTCCATACTGGCATAAATCTAATTTAGCTAACAGTAAGGCAATGCCAACTAACTAGTGCAACCTAATCTGCCCCACACATGAAGTAACTAACAACACACCAATATTTAGCTTGTTAGTTTAAAACAGTGTGAAGTGTGTGAAATTTAAGCCTGGATGTAGCATTAAACATCAGAAAAACTTGTTATTTCAGCCCTGCCCTAGTTCTAAGAAAAGAAAATAAGAGGTAGAATTTGACATAGTTTAAAACATCTAAAACATCCTTTCTTTGCTTTGAATATAGTGGCCAGTGGATTCAAGCTCAAGTTTAGATTTGTGACACCCATTTTTTTGGATTTCAAAGGCACTTTAAAAGCATGCAATTAAGTGGCCTCATTCATGCAAAAACATAATGGTTTCCACTCAATTTAATTATATCAGTATTATATAATTAGAGGTTTGGTTGCTCTTGCCTCAGCAAAAGAAACTTAAGTGTATATAATTAAGCTTATTAAGACTTAAAAAGATAAGAGGACCTGACTTGGGCACAGTTACTCTTTCTCTGTTGTTTATGCTAACACGCTAACTAATAAGCTAAGGACCCACTTTAAAAAATCAACCAAGAAGCCAAACAGACTATACAGTTTTTATCAGCTTAGGTTGCCCAGCAAAACCTTTTAAAATCTTTTAATACACACAAATAATACAATTAAGAGTCAACATTAAAATGGCTAACATTTATTTGACTATTTAGGCCCACTTGTATGCCATGTTATTTAAGTTTATTTAATTTGATTTGCTTACGTGAATAGCAGGTTTGAAACTTTTATTTCTATTTTTTTTATGTACACATTGAGTTCTTTTTCAAATCCTTACAACAAATATATATAATATATTATATATAATAACTGACAAATATATAGTGGTTCAAGATTTTCATGTTTAGAATTGATGTCTGTCCGGAAATGAAAGTCTCAAAGTGCATTTTTCAACAGCCATAAATCAGGGCTACAGTTGTTTGTACGGCCAACATTTTGCTGTTTGTTGTGAGGTTCAGTTCTCATATTATTTACTTGGTAACTTTCTTATTGTTTTGGAGGCCCACAGCAGTAGTAGAAAGTAGAGAGAACTATTATGGGAGCAGCATGAGATGTTCCAGTGCTATGCGTTTAAAAACCTTTAAGAGAGAGGTGAGTTTGATTTATCGTTGTGGTGAAACAAGGCATTAGAGGTTAAAGCAGCAGTTGTAATACCAAAGCTAATTTGAATAATTGAGTGAATGACTGATCATGCATAGAGGCCCAGACTGCTTGGCGTTATAACACTATCAATCACAACTGTAATCAAAACGAATGGCCAAAGTCATCATGTCAAAGCTGTGGGCCACATCAAAATTTACGTATTTACTAAACTTTAATCAGCCAGCCAGGTCAATCTGCATTGATGGGACAAGCCCATTATAGAGTAGTTTGAATCCTGTTAAAGAAGATATTTATCTTAAACTGACATTTCATTTGGAGTATATTTTATATACTGCACACCTATAACTATATATAATTCTTCCAAGAATCCACTGCACACCATGCTGTTACCTCTAATGTAATTACCACATTTCTGTACTTCATTCTGAAGGAACATGTAAAAGAAACACATGGCTTGCTACAGTTACAATAATAAAAGTATAAATAGTTCACACAGAATCTTTTGGAACAATTCTCTCAGCAGTTCTAAATGATCTTAGGTGTATTTTAGAACCCACAATGGGCACAACTGGATTTACCAATGGTGTACTAGGTCAAGTATTAAATGCACACCTCATCTCTTACCCAACTTTCCTCTATGTTTTTTTCAAATGTGTGCGATACAGAGGCCAGGTACATTTTAAAAATCATATTAACAATCTCCCTAAATGTATGAAATATAATAAAGCTATAATAAAGCGTTTTCATTATTAAGTCATTATTTTACTGTAGCACATAACTGGAACATAGTAATTGTACTACCGTTACATTGTCATTTTGCTCTCAAAGTCTGCAGTGCAGTGTAAGTGGTCAAGAAGAAAGAGTGGTGAACAGTGGAGGCTGACCTTTTTGTTACTAAACATGCACAAAGTTGACGGTGATTCTAATAGAATAGGTAAAGTGCATGCTAATTCCCAAGTGGCAGGTGGTCAATGCCTGAACAATACAGTTTTTGACATTTATCTATTCTATAATCTTCAGTTTTTAGTTACTCCTAAAGTCTTTATATCATATGTCTTTTTAAGCTTAATTTGTCTAGAAAAATAATGACTTCTCTTTGGGCTCAGACCATACAAATGGTTTCATTAAATGCGGTTAAAGTGAAAAGGGTCATTGAAGTATTGACGCGTATTGAAGCGTGCACAGGTGAGGTTCTGACACAAGATTTTTTGAATGACCTCATATTTGTGAATGAGGAGCATGTGTAAATGGCAGAGATGTTGACATGCTGTTTATCGCACCACTCTGACTGTAACTAAATTGAGTAGAGCTGAAAGTATGAATAGAGAGAGCACTCACCAGCGGGGAAGTACAGCGGGAGATTGTGCAGGTACAAGTCCTTATCTGTCGGTAGGAAGACACAGAAGATGACTCTGTCCATCTGAAACACACACACATGACTTTTTATTAACAGCAGACGCAATAAGCAGTGGCAGTGAGGGAACAATGTGATACACAGGCTCATTGTACAACACAGAGAGGAGAATGCGCCTAATGCATCACTCCATTAGTTAGCCATTAGCGTCCCATTATGACCATGACATAGAGCCTATTGTAGCTGTGGGGACAAAGTGCTTTAGAAGTAACAGTATCTTTTTACATGGAAGAGGACAGAAACAGCTGTAAAAGGATTTCATATGAACTAGTTTTAGGACAGTTTGTTCTTGTTATATGTAGTCAGAGTACACTTTATGGCAATAGGCCCCTTAGTCCCTCCTTATTTCAGTAGAAAACTGAGCAGTGAGCTCCCTCCCCACAAACCAAAGTCGTTAAGATAATAGATTTCAAATAATATTAAGACACTGACCAAGTGAGTGCTGTTATTGTGCAACAATAAACACTTTTTATGCTCTAGTGCTTCTGTCCACAGTATATTTACATTATAAATACTGGTCGTCCCATTGCAGCCTGATGATAAAAGTGAACTGTTACACTGGGTAAAACTCTACTGTATCCTCTTATTTTATCAGCCTAATGTCTCTACAATGGGTTAGATTTTTCTGTTTGCTGTGAGTCAGTATAATTTATTGCCTGGTAGTTGCTATCACTTTGTGTGTGGTGTGGGAGGCAGACATGCACAACAGCCAGCTTGCCCTCATCTCCGCCTTGGCTTCTGGACAATTACTGAGCTTCATCAGGAAATAGAGACAAGCGAAAAGAGAAGGCATAGGAATGTGCTGTGCGTAACTACATCCCCTGGGCTGGGTTTGGATGCGTAAAACCATGTTGGATTAGTCTACACTTGCGCCATTTTGCAGCCAGCTACAAATTAAAGCTAGTGGTTACAAAATGGCATCCTTCTCCAGAGCAGTAGAGGTTGATTTTGACCATAGAGAGGACCTCCGAAAAGATTATGAAATAAAATGATTATGAGATGGTTAGCAACAAATGTATTTATTTCTGGACAGTTGTTTCATGTATTAACCTGTACCTTGGCATATTTTTAATTATGCAATATGAGGTTCAATTTAGGCAATGCAGAGATATTGCCCTTATGTGATTATGACTGAAAATGACATTGTAAAATATAATCATTCACAGTGCCTGGTGTATTGACTGGATATTTGTGAGGAGTCTGGTCAATTTATTTTATTTGGTTTCATGAATAAATCATTCATATTTTTATTATTGAAGATAATGAAGACTGTTGGCTCTACAGCTCTGTGCTGTTTGAGTTTATTGTGTGGCTCACAGCATGTTCAAATTTTAATTTCAGTTTCAGCACTGGGGAGTTCAGGGCTTCAGTGATCCAACAATAGGAACTATAAACAATCAGAGGTTTGACAATAAAGGCTCTTCTCTGGTGTACACTCTCACAGCAAACATTCTCCGGTCTGTCCATCTCTGGAGTTTACAATAAAACATCTCTCTCTCTTTAAAACACACTGGAGCATTTTGTGTGTAAACAAAAGTGGCGCGCTCATTTCCAGCACTTTTGAGGGCACGTCCTCTACAGCGGGATGCATTTTGTGTGAGCATTTGTTTGCTGAACACTGCATGGCTGATGGCATCATCCGCCTAGTATTGCTGCATAGACTCATGAGACCAAGGCTAACAATAACATTATCAACAGGCTCTATGGGAGGTGGTACTGTGTGCTGCCTAAAGACAGAAGGAGAGAGGGAGGGTGGATTGGAAGGAGGTCTTAGAAGTCGAGGAGGAGGGTTTTAAGGATGTAGCGGTTTGATTGGAAAGTTTCCTCTTTGTTCTTCAGCGCTGGCTTCCCCTCCAGTCATCTATTCCATCATTTTGTCTTTTCTCCGCTTGCTTTCTCCAGAGAGACAAGCATGTGTTTGTGTGAGTTGGGCTTAGTCCCGCAAGGAGCCAATTAAAACACAGACTTGGCCATGAGCATGAGAGCCACAACTTGAACAAGGAGTCTGTGTGCATTTCAATGTATGTTTGTGCATGTGTGTTTGTGTCTCCATACAGCCCCTTCTCTCTCTCTCCCAGAAAAAAAACAACAACAACAGCTGTGTGAGAGGAAGAATACCTGGAGGAGATATATGAGAGAAATGTGCACAGAAATACACACCTTTTCATGGTGCTCATCCAGAAAATCCCTCACAGTGGCTAATGCCTCGTGCACGGCCTGCTCCGGTGGATATCCTGCACTGACAGCACACAGCAAATCAAACACAAGCAGACAATATGCACACTCATGTCCTTACATCCTTTATGCTGCATCTTTGCCTTCTACAACACTAGTCTCACCTTATTCCTTTGTAGAGGTGTAGGAAAGCTACATGCACAACACTATAAATCCATTAATATAATAAGGCAACTGTCTCTCGAGGCTATATTTTTTTATTTCAGATACTTGCAGGTTACATACTCCATTGTTTAAGCAAACACAGAAGAGAAATGTGCTATGCATTTGACCCATCATTCAAGGAGAGCCAACTGTCAAGAGCAGAAAAGTGCAGCTCCCAGGAACCTTTTGCCAGATTCATGGTCAGGAGTACCTAACTGCAGGACTATCACATATTATAAAGTCATCCACGTGCTCATGTTCTCCCGTTTCGACTATTGCAACTCCCTTCTCTCTGGCCTTGACACCAAATCCATCTCCCGCCTCCAAATGGTGCAGAACGCAGCAGCTCGGCTCCTCACTGGTTTTAACAATCAACACGTTACCCTGTTTTAGCTTCCCTTCACTGGCTGCCTTTGTGTTTTAGAATTGTGTTTTAAGGCTCGTTTAAGTCTTGTACCAAGTTAAATTTCAGAACTTTTAATCCCATATGAGCCCTCCTGCAGCTTTAGTTCCTCAGGCAGGTCTCTGCTAGCTGTTCTGCCCAGTCCAGGTTCCAGATGAAGGGTGAGCGAGACTTTTCAGTCCGGGCGCCTCGGCTTTGGATTGACCTGCCTGAGGAGATAAGGCTCGCACCATCAGTATCATCTTTCAAATCACCTCTTAAAACTACTTCTGTTAGCTGATTTTAACTTGATTTTATTCTTTTTTTATTTGTATTATATTTTAACTTATTTATTACAATGCATTGAATTGATAGCATCATTGTCTGTTTTTGTACACTTTCTGTATGTTATTTTACTGTTCTTTGATGTTCTTTGTTTTTAAAAACAAGGTTTACAAATAAAGATTTATTATTATTATTATTATTATTATTATTATTATTATTATTAAAAAGTAGGTAGGTAAACTTTATTTATACGGCACTTTTCACAGATAAAAATCACACGGACCACCAGGACTTCCCTACCCAGACACAGGATGAATATGCAAACTCTACACAAAGACTCAATTTAGTCTTGGAATGGAACCCAGACCTAATCATAAAATCTTCAACAAATAGTTCAGACAAAAATAATAATAATAACTGGAAAAACTGCATTTCCAAGGCAATGTCGCGCCATAGTGTTTAGTCCAATCAGATGCTTGCTGCTTCATTGTTGCAATTACAGCGAGCAGGATGTGAGGGTTGTCCAAAGGCACAGAGTACAGAAGGGTGCAAATTAACCTAAATGTTTTGTGCTAGCAACAAAAATACACACAGGCGCTGTTTGCATTTCTGAAATGTGATGTAACAATCCAAACTGGGCCCATTATGGTTTATAAGCATTTTATTGCATGGTGGAAAACAAGTGAAAATTGCCTTTCCTTTACTAGACTTGAAGCCAAATATTGTTCATAGAAAAATGCTTCAGAGCCCCCATTAACACTGCTGTTAGCAATTCAACTTAACTGGCAATTTACAGCTAAAACAGTTATGACGGCAATTGTGTTGAAAGTTCTCACATCTTAGAATGATCTCTTAGAACAGAGATTTGGTAATGCAGCTATAAAAATCTGTGATAGGATGTACAAATGACACTTAGATATGTAGTCTAGAAAAAGTGTGGTAGCCAGAGGACTAGACACTGCGGCACAATTATCAATATACAGTACATATATTTAATATTTTCTGAAGGGGTGAGTAAAACCATTTTTAGTTCTTAGTTTTACCTATAATCCATAATATTAACAAAACATATTCTTAAACCAGTTTCAAAAGAATGTAACAATTGCTTTAGGTGACCGTTTAAGAACCGTTTAATACAGAGAATCGTAGATACATACTGTGTAGGAGACACTTGAATCAATTACGCCATTGTTTTTTCTGTTTGGAAATGTCTCAAATACTGGCTCAAACCCCAGAGTGCACCCCAGGGAGAGTTCAAACTGCCATCGTTATGTCCTTCTCCTCCCAGCGTGAAGAGGGATTACTTTCAATATGACACAATCGTTGGCCTAATCTATCTTAATCTGACGCTCTTAATCCTGGGCCTTAATCTGTGGAGCACCTCTGGGTCGGAGTAGATAAGTGTCACACACTGGCTCCACACCAGTTTAATACAGTCACAGAGAGAATGAAACAACAAGCCCATGATGAAAACAGAGCAATCCAGATGGGGGACAGTGCCACTTAAAGCCAAAAGCCCTGCAGCAGCAATAAACACTTGAGGAAAGATAAAAACTACATCTCTCTCTCATACAAGTGAGTGGATAAGTGTGTTTGTTCTTGTGTAGTTTAAATGGGTGTAAACAGGCACTGACCGTAGATTCCTGTTGAGATGCAAGGGAAAGCCTGCAAAGCAAAAAACAACAAAGAAAAGCGGTTTACAGCGGCAAGGTGATCACATAAGTGCCTGTTTTTATCCATCGCTCGCACACACACACCAGTGAACACATCGCTCACTGTATTGTTACTACAGTTGTGCTTTTCAAAGACTGCATGTTGGGCCAGCTATTTTTGACAAGGCCACACACAGATGAAAGCCTCTCTGTGGCCCTGACCAGCAGTGTCAGAGTATATTATCACATCTACTGTATGTCTATGAATGTCTATGCCTCATAATTTAGCTACCTCATAGTGAATGTATTGCTTTTATTTGGGTTTCTGGCTCTAACAATAATAACACTTACATGGCCAGGCTATTATATACTATGCTGCACCTAGACTATTACGGGAATAATATTAAAATGTTCTGTGTTGATCCTACTGTATGTAATTGCCTTTTATTATTATTTTTTTAACCAGTCTCCTTAAGTTTAGACTTTTCAGGGAGAGAGTCTGACATCATGCTTCTCTCCATGCTTTGCTGGGAATGTTCCATAGTATGGCATTAAACATACCTAAAGGGCCAATAAATTCTCAAAAGTCTATCCATGACTTGCTTGTCCTTATTTAACATGATGTACTTTAAAAACAGTGATTACATGTTGCCTGAATTTAAAACTCCCTCCTCCCTGCGCCTGTGAGTGGTGTGGGCCCCCCATGCTCATTGTGCCCTCACCACTGATCGCGCCCCCCAATCTGTGGCTGTCTGCAGGCTGTTCTTGTAGCAGGACCTGAGAGCCCTCTTCTCAGCTTCTCCCACTTGCCCTTGTGCAATCGGCCCCACTGTATGGATCACATCTACAAACAAACAGAATAATAAATGTCAAATTAATGTAAACAAGATGTAGGTCATTGATGTGCAAATGCAATCAGAACCTGCTTTACTTGCAATCAGTAAACTTATAACAGGCATGGACAGAAGTGAGAAGTTTAAATGTCCTTCTTTCATTTAACAATTTTGCTTAAGTAGACATAATCCAAATAACTATAATTTTCAAAATGCAGCTTTTTCAAAAATAATGCCAAATAATGTTTCTTTCAAGGTAAAAAGTTATGCCAAGATAATAACAACCCAAAAATTGGAAGAGAGGGCTTCTCGTCTTTGAAAGCACACAAACTTCTATGAAAAATACAAATACAATGCTTGTATGGAGTATGTTTTCCTGAAAAATAATCTAGCCTTAAGAAAAACACTTACCCTTAAAGATGACCTTTAACTAAGTCCCTGAGGCTTACTGCTAAGCTTATATTACATAATCATTCGGTGTAATAAAGTTGTGTTTGCTAGTTATCTACAACTGTTGCTACATCAGTCATACTACTTCGAAGCACTGTGTACATATGCAGTGGGTGCAGGACTCACAGACATAAACTTTTTTAGAGTATTTGAGAAAAACAGAACAGTTTCATCACTGCTGTTTGCTCGCTCTTTGACTGACACCGCCTTGAAATGAAACGAGAGAGAAATCCTTCCACGAGAAAGAAGCATCTTAACAAAAACTGAAGTCAGAACAAGATGCTCTCACTGTCTACTTGGTTTGTAAGCAATGGGTCAGTGTGGACAGAAATGTATTCCAAATATGCCCACTGTTAATAATCAGTCTATTACCCAACTGCACAAAATTTTGTTTACTGATGTGTGTGGGTCTTATATGTTATGCTGTGATAATGATTATCATATTCCCTCAGTGAAAGGATCAACCAAGTTGTGCACATCTAGTATATTACATTGTAATATACTAGAAGGGAGAGGATATTAAAAACTTGCTTCTGCCTCCTCATGCTCCCTTATTCTCCAAGAAACTGAACTAAACACAGAACTAAAATAAATCATTTAACCTGCAGCAGTTTGACTGGAGCAAAGGACCCTTCACTTGATCTTTTACTTATTCTAAGACATCCATGAACAATCTGTGAGTTTTTCTGGTGAATCAACAGCTCTCACTCTTGTAATATTGTTTCTGAATTATTATTGAATCAAGATTGTGCATGTTTTAGGTTTGTGAGGAAAATGAAATACGAAATAGAAAACCTACTAAGAAAAAGGCAAAACTCCAAACGGAAATGCTCCTTGAGTTTTACTGAGCATGAATCTTAAGGAATGCTCTAACCTTGAAAACTTGCTTTCCCAAAGCTTTGTGTGAGAGATTCTTGAGACTGTCTAACAGACTGACTAATGACACAGCCTCCACCATCTATTTTCAGCTTAATGAAGCTTTTGTTCCTGATGCCTGCTGAGGTATTTCACTTGAACTAATTGACTGAATAAAGAGCAAACTGACTGTGTCTCATACAATTTATAATGGATTGGCAAAGGTAATGTTAGGACAGGCAAGCTCATAGATGTGGTTAAACTGGCTTTCAACACCAATGTAGCAGCTTCTGATGAAACTCTGTGTGGTGCCAGATTCACAACCACCTGCACATGGAAAAAGAAATCCAGTTCACATTAAACCACTGAGATCCCATTCTACTAGCAAACTTCACTGGGGTTATATAATCTTGTTTTAGGTTTGAGTCACATTCTGTTTAAGTGTGGATATGTGAAGACACTGGGGAATATGCACTCAGCAGTAATCCTTATGTCATACAGGGCATAGCACGGTGTAAATTATTAAACTTCTTGATATATAGAACCAGTATAAAAGATAAATGTGAGTCTTTGCTTGAAAATGAGTTGTTCAGTGATTATGGGCCAAGATCCAACCACTTGCATAAGGGAAAACTAATAATAAAATGAACCCTGAAGTGGGATAGAAGCTTGTATTGCCATAGATGTCAATCATAGCAGGCTTGCAGATAACTCCATAACAGAGTAATCCAGTCAGTATTGAGACTTAAGGAGCATCAGGGTGTTCAAATGCATCTGAAAAGACAGGAGTTAACCGGATAGATTTATCAGACAGTTTGGCCCAGGGCCCAATACAGATAGGGCAAGGCTGTCATCAGAATAATGTCTTCCTTAGTTAAATTAGGTATCTCCTTTGGCATTTAATGTACTTTTATGTTTTGTACATTTTGTTTTGCTTCCTTTAATTGCTTCCTTTAATGGTACCTTGAAGCATCAACTTTATGCTATTTTCTGATCTATGGTATATTGTTTCCTCATCACAAACATACCTGGAGTTGTGTTTTGTTTCATTCACACATGTTTAAAAACACAATCTGCATATTAAGGCTGAGTTCTTCTCTCAAATAGAAAACACTCACATGTGGTAGAACAGGAAGTGCTCCACTGTGTTTTTTTTTTTATTTTTATTTTTTAACTCCATACACCTTCTCTAGAATCATTTGGATGATTTCAGCCCTTGAATTGCCAATCTTTAGTGAATAAAAGGTAAAAGCCATTAACTTGCAAACTACTGCTTCATGAAGTCATTAGTTGAAGCATTTTCAGACTAATTATATAGGATTAGAAAGGTGTGTTTTGATCCGGGAACAACATTATAACATGGTTTAAAGCTCACAAGAATCTTTTTTTTTTCTGTAATATAAGACCTTGAGTTGAATTGGGTATTTGAAATGTATGCATTCTAATTCAATACAAAGACAAAAACAAACTTTTATATATAAAAGCTATCATTTTTGAATGAAAAACTGCTACCTTACTATGTTCCCTTTAAATTCTAATGGAAAATGTCACTTATAAGGAAATTAACTAAGCATCTACTGCCTGCAAGTCCACATGCTCAGACTAATTTTAATAAATAGGGTTAAGTTCCTTATACACTAATAACCTAGTTTTAAAACGTCTTCCTGAGTGGCCTATATTTGACTGAATAAATCCAACATGCTAGAGACCCCCAAACAAAGATTGAACCTTAAGAAAGTCTTTGAAGTTGAGAAAACCATCTTAAACTGTGTCATTTCTCCTCAGTAGTTTATTAAAGAGTACGTCACATGCATTAATCACACAGTTATTAAAGTCTCTCTCTCTTCAGTGTCAAATACAGAAACAGAGGCAGTTTTAATCCCGCCCTCAGAGGATCGGAGCCCATTAGGCAAAAAGATTTAACTCAGCACTGTGGGATTTTCTCAAATATGATCAGGTGATCTATTTTCAAAGCATAGTATGTAGCCCTTTTGCGCTTGCTCCTTCAATTACTCATTTGTTAAGAGAAATTGTTGCTGCTGTGTCCATCGATAAGGACATTGTGCCAGCTAACCACAATCAATGGGGAGTATTTGGTTTGCAAAGTAGAATGTGATAATTGTTCAGTGAAACAGGGCTACCTGTTACCTAACAAAGTGGTCACAGCAAGGACACTCCTGGGAACACCCTACAATTTATTTTAGTTTTCATCAGTCATTTCATACACTATGGAGTCTTAATCTCTTAAAAATGAGACTATAAGATCTGAAGTTGCAAGATGCTATTAAGAAATTGTATAGAGCTGAGTATGGTCCCAGGCTGGATTAAAAGAATGGATTGCAAATAAACTTGTGACATTTAAATAAACAACCCAAACCCTAAAACATTACAAATATTGGCTACATTAATCAATAAAGAGATTATTCAAAAGAAGTGGCCACAAGGGGATCACTTCACATAAGATATTGATTTATTTCAGGTATAGATTTACAACAATGGATACATAGATCTCCAAAATGGTTTACACCTCAAGACTCAGTAACTGAGTAATACTTAAGACTGAGACTGAGTAATACTTAACCAATTCTTACTGACACAACTGCTCTATTTACCATGCAATTTAATGGTGAATGTTGTGCTATTGCTATTTAGCTGCTATCTTACTTTAATACAAATGAAATTAATCTGAAATAATTGTGCATCCTTTGGGAACAGATATGTGTTATATGTGTTGAACTATTTATTTAAAGTCAACAACAAACAAGTGTTAAGTTTCAAAGGAGGCCAATGAATGTTATCCAGTGTTGTATATTTTGCAAGCTTATTCCAGTTCTTTTCTGTTGCTCTTTTGTAGAATATTTACAAGGATATCACCCTGGAATCATTCAGCAGAATTGGAGGAGGGAGTGTGATGAGTGCCTATGTCCCCTAAAGACAGCAGATAAAAGTGCTCAGTGCAAACACAAGAGCATGCGACTGACGTAGAATCCACGGATGTAAGAGAAATGGAACCCACAGTCCTCATCAAACGCCCCACTGATGCAAGTGGTCCCTGAGAAATCACTTAGTCTCAGTTATTTCAATCAAAAGCCCTTAATGTACATATAATACTGCCAATATACTTCTATTACATCTACTGTACTGAAGCAGGTTATGTCACTGTAGCCCACCACCGCACTGTGGCGAGTGTGAGCAGGATGATGATCACAAACTTATAAAAACTACAGTTTAAACGTGGCTATGTCTCTGATTATACACCAAACAGTTACTTTCTATCATTACATCCTACATCCTGCTGTTACCATTATTCTACATGTCATGCTGCATAAAAATCAAGCTCAAAGTTCAACAGCTCTCAGTCACAATGATCCCATACAATGTATAATAAGGCTATTTAAGCCTAACGTATAACTTCTAATGGGAGAATGCACTTGTGTAATCACACAATGACTGCAGCAACAATCTGACCCTGTATATCTCTCTGAATATAAGGTTCAAGTGTCAGTCTTCTTAGACATGTCTGCTGTGCCCAGAATAGACTCTTAAACTCAACAGTTCAGTGTTAAGTGCAGCTTCACACACTTTTTTGTGTGTTACTTAGTAACTCTCCCACACATTTTCATCATAACTTCTACTTACATTGACTTTCATTATGATCTGGCCAAAATACATCAGTTTTAAATGCAAGGCAACAATGTTTTTTCAT